GAGAATGAGAGAGAGAGCACATGAGAGGGGGGAGGGTCAGAGGGAGAAGCAGACTCCCTGCTGAGCGGGGAGCCCGATGCGGGACTCGATCCCAGGACTCCAGGATCATGACCTGAGCCGAAGGCAGTCACTTAACCAACTGAGCCACCCAAGCACCCCAACCCTTCGAAATTCTAAGCATAACGAACAAGAATAGCTTTATGAGCGAAAGCTCCAGCTAGCTTTTATTAGCGGTGAAGGAGTATTGAGCTTTCACCCGAACGCGGAGTCTTTACCTCTAGATCTTACTACCATGGAGATTAACCTCCAGGCCTTCATAGGGTAGCAGGTCCTACAGAAAATGTTGGTTGGCACAAAACCATTTGCTCAAGATTCTCAGCCAGGGATTTGATTACCCTGATGTGATTCCACTTACCGGCAAGGGAATTTCAATAAAAGTAGCATCTCCAGTTTTAAAAATAAATGTCATATGCCATACTTTGGAGGATTTTGGTGGTGGGGGAAAAGATAAGGAATTACCAAATTAGAAGGGTGGAATTAGTGCTCTAGGTGCTTTGATGCCAGCCTCATCGAAGAAATTTTCTGCTGTATTACTAAATTTCTGTCAGGCTTATGTTTAACGTAAGGGCTGTTTTCATTCAATCCCCACAACAAAACATTCGGAGCTTTCCGATGGAGAGATAGGGTCAAACAGATGAATTCTGTGAGGTAATTGGGATCTGGCCAGAGAAAATGAGGAAATGAAGTTTCCTCGGTGTTCACAGTTTATTATTCCTTCCTGCTCAGGACACCTTCTCCCTTGACTGCTGAGATGCACACACTTTCATAGCTTTTCTCCCACCTCCCAGGGCGCACTTTCTCACTCATCAGGGCCAGGCCCTCCTCTTTCCATGCCTGAAATGTTGCAGGGCCCCCGGACCCAGCCCCAGATGTCTTCTCTCTCCACCCGCAGTAATCCTGCTCTCTCCGCGCATCTGTGCCGTTACCGCCACATTTCTAGCTCCAGCCTCGCTCGGCCTCTTTCCTCGGCTCCAGGCTCATCAAGCCATCTGCTTCCTGTATATCTCCACCCAGTGTTCTGAAAGGTGTCTCAGACTTAACCGATCCACAGCCAAACCCTGGTTCTGCCCAAGGTACCCTGTCCCTCTTGTGTCCTCCCCACTATAGTACATGATGTCTCCACTAGGGCCCGTGTCCTTGGGGTTATACTCCACTCCTCTTCCTCCCAGCAAATACTTTTGCATCTGCCTTCAAAGCACATCCAGAATGTGGTTACTTCTCACCACCTTTTGGCCGCCAGCCTGGTCCAGGGCACCCTTTCTAGCCCATCTTTCTGCTGTAACCACCTGACTGATCTCCCCGAGGAGTTCCTCCCCTCCAGAGTTCTTCCTCCACCCAGCAGCTAGACAGTTGTTTTAAAAGATAAGTCAGATCATGTCATTTCTCTGCTCAGAACCCTCCACTGGCTTCCCCTCACACTTAGAACAAAAGCCAAAATCTGATTTATATAACGCTGTAGACCTTATATGTCCTGGCCTTGCCTCTTTCCTCCCCCTCCTCTTCACTTCCCACGCACTCACCCTAATCCCAATTAGAGGAGCTGCCTTTTAGTTCCCAAACCTGCCACGCACACTGGGGCCCACAAGGGTCTTCTGTTTGCCGTGCCCATTGCCAGTACCGCTCTCCCCACGTGGTTTACATGGTTTTGTTTCCTCCCTTTGACCACATCTCTGCTCAAATTCCTCCTCCTCTCCAGGCCTTTTCTGGCCCACCCTCCCTAAAAAAGAACCCCCACCGTTCAGTCTCCATGCCCTTACTCCGTTTTTCCTTACAGCGCTCCTCCCTACCTGATGTGAATTTCACTGGTTTGTTAGGAGCTCTGTGACTGCAGTGTTCACCGGTGTAGCCCCAGTGCTGTGAACAGTGCCAGACACATAATGTGTACTGAATAAATACTTGTTGAATGGATTAATTAATGATATGCTAGACATAAGATCGATCACCTTTGCTCGTTCCCTTTCACTGAATGCCTAAATCTGCAGCTGGCCGTGTGATACTTTGTTTCTTCTTGGTTTAAGCCATTTCTTCTTTATCTAGTCAGAGCTTATGTCAGTTTTATAGCAGTAGACAATAAGGCAGGAGGGGTCCTCATTACCTGCCCTGGTATTCTGATGAAATCAAAATGCGCACGTCACTTTGATCCAGAATGTTCAAGTTTGTTTTTCTTGTTTTTCTCCACAATTGATAGGCACTGGGCAAATCCATTAAAAAAATAATCATAAAATGCGGTACACTGCCTCAGTTTCCCTAATGCAACTGAGAATAAGATTTGGGTCTAGGAGAAACGGACTGAAGCAAACAAGCCTGCATTTTGCCATTCCCTCTCTCAAATGCCTCCTCATCCCCATTCACGAGGACTGACAGGTGTGGATGGCCACCACATTCTTTTGTGTTACAAATCAGTCATCTGAGCCTCTGGGAACACTGACCCCACTGTCCTGCAAATTGCTGTCTATGGCTAAGGCCTTCCATTGGTTGGCTGGCATTTCTGGCTCCTGGGCCACTCCTCAACCACTTGTGGTAGGAGAAAAAGATGTATCAGCACATAGCAATTAAAATTCTAGCAATTGGCAAAAGATTGGCTTGATGCTCTTAGAATCATCTAGTCTAGTGGTTCCCAAGCCAAATTACTTAACCTAGGCAGATTTTTAGAAATACAGGTTTCCAGGTCCCACTCTATCCCTGGAGTTGGGATAGGGTTTGGTACACACACACACACACACTCTCTCTCTCTCTCTCTCTCCCCGCCCCCCCACCCCGGGTCTAGCAGATCATATATATTTCTAGTGATAATAAATGCTATCAAGCAAACAGGCAAAAGGCAGAAAACTAGGAGTGGAGATGGTAGGGATAGGTTTTCTGAGGAGATAACATGTAGTCTGCACTGGGAGATATTAGGGGAAGGACATTTTGGGCAGGAAATAGCATGGTGTGTTTACGGAATTAGAAGCAGACCAGTGTGACAGGAGCATGGCAAGTGACTAGGAGAAGAGCTCAGGGTGCGGTGAGAGGGAAGGCCTGGGGCTTAGCAGGCAAGGATGAAGGGTGTGGGTTTTGTTCCCAGCGCTCACATTTTCCTGGGAACTTTGAGCTCAGAAGTGGAGGCTGTGAGTCCTGAACGAGGCTATACGGTCCTCTGATGGTGAACGGGACTAAAGTGGTGGCACCCAAGATGGAGCGGAGAGGGCAGTTTCAGGGTATATATTTTAAGAAAGTCAACAGGACTTGCTGATGAGTGGAAAGAGGGCGGGGAAAGCAAGGGTGATCTGAAGAGGTCCTATTAGAGGCACTGTAGAGGGTGGTTGAGTGCCCCGGTTGCCCCGTCTGTAAAATGGGATATTGAGGGACCTCCCCACCACGTCGGTGGGGAGTTGATATTTGTAAAGCATTTAGAGCAGAGGTTGGCACATGGTGAAACACCACGTAAGCGTGAGTGGTGCCGTGGATGACAGTGATTCGTCCAAGGTCGCACAGCTAGCCAGCAGTAGGTCCAGCACAAGAAACCAGAGCTTAGCCTCTCGGTTCAGTGTATTTTATGCTACACTGAGCTGCCTCCTTGAATTACCTTTGACCTTTTGTATTTATGCACACTCTAGGCAGAGTGGTCGTTGCACTGACTGTAAACATATGAATGTCACACCAAACATGATAAATTGCTCTGATGTTCTGTACAGCCTGGAATTCCAGGTTATTTTGGCTGTCCATAAAACCATGAACCATGCTATTCCAGATTTTAAAAAGGCCCAGATATTGGGAGGAAGGGAGTACAGGAAGAGAGATGGTCTGTGGGTAGATTTTAAATATTAAAAGAAGTAGCTCCTAGAATGTAGATGCACTCATGTTGTTCACATGCTTAGGCTGGAGCAGGCACATACCCTGCAACAGTAGACGGTGCTAAGAGTCCTTCATACCGGAAGTTAGAGGTCAGTGCATGCCAGGGGAAGGAAAGCAAGCAAGCTGAGAAGGTCAGTGTTACTCCCCCAGATCGTCAGGTTCCTAGTGATACATCTTCAAGAAGTGTTTGAAGTACTTCTGTCAGTTTCAAGTAAGCTAATTTTTTTTTTTTTAAATTGCTCTTTGTACTGTGCCTTTCTCATGAACCTCTGTGAATTTAATGCATGCAATATGTGGGGGGAAATCCTATCAGCCTCATTTCCCATCCCCCCAGAGTCTGAGAAGCAGATTTTAGAAGCATATTGTTGCACCTGCAAGGATTTTGTCATTTTATTAAACGGACCTGAGACGATGTTCAGTGTGTCTTGTAGGGAGGAATTTCGGAAAGAGGTGAGAGAAAATGCCAACTTGGCCCCTGCTCCCTCCTGTTGACTGTCTGTTCTGTTGCATCTCTATCTCAAACAGCATGGGGAGGACTGTTCTTCATTACCAGGGAATGTGAGTCATTCCCAGACTTGTGTGATTGGGATTCCAAAGCGTTGCTGTATCCGATGGTCTTATTAAATCCAAGTGTCAGTGCAGCCTTTCAGACTGTAGGGGAGAGCTCACTTACAGCTGGTGACCTGGTTCTAGTTACCACACAGAGACACTGGCGAGACCAGTGACCCCCTCCGAGCACCCAGAATTCCTTGTGATGGTTGTTACCAACTATTCCCAGATTTGGGGGTTTCCTGGTTCACTTCATGGGCTTCAATATATTTTGGCTCCCTGTTTATATCCGAGTTGAGATCTGTATACTTTAGGGGGAAAATATCTGTAAAGTGTCTGTAGACAAGCTAGTGCCAAGACTAGCCTAGCATTTGAAGGGGACTGCATTTCAGATTTACTCAGCCCTAGCAATGTTAACTTCTCGGCATCCAGGATCTAGCAAGACACTCTCCATTTCCAGCTGGGTCCAAACAAAACAAATAAAACATCAACCAGAGAGGGAGGAGACTATGGATGTTGCCAGAAAATCACTTTGCTCTGTCTTTTCTCTCTCCTAGAATGTTTCACAGCCAATGGTGCAGATTATAGGGGAACACAGAACTGGACAGCACTACAAGGAGGGAAGCCATGCCTGTTCTGGAACGAGACTTTCCAGCATCCATACAACACTCTGAAATACCCCAACGGGGAGGGGGGCCTAGGCGAGCATAACTATTGCAGGTAAGATGGGGCCACACAATGTTTTAAAAAAAAAAATCTTTGGCCTTCTTTTCCAGTCCCTTCCAGCCTTGCTCACAACTACAGGAAGCTTCTTTGTCTCCTTTTAGCCAACTCAGAAGACCTTTCTTGTTACTATTTTAAAAATCTTCCTCCCACACCTTGCCACACACACACACACATACACAATCTACCACTCTTTTCAACTCCGGTTGCTTTGGTACAAGTTTTCAGAGCTCTGCTTTCCTGTCTGATCACTTACATGTCTCTTGGGAAGGGCTTTCCTAGTTGGCCCTGCCACCAGTGGACACTACATAGATAGCAGATCTTTTTAAGCTCCTGTGAATGTGGTGGTCAAGCAGAGCACCATCTGTGGCCCAAACCGCCCGCTGCTTCTGAGCAAAGGAGGGTGCCCTGTGTTACCCCACCTCCCGCCAGCCCAGGATAGCCCTGCTCTGGGAGTGGCTATAACCATCAGATTTGTGCTGTGTCCTTCCTGTCCGTGGAATAAGGTGTTTCTTTGGTCTTAACCTCCTGTCTGACCCTGACAGGGGCTCTTCACCTGAGATCCAAGGCGCTTCAGCTGTGTACTTGAGATTTTCCACAGAGATGATCCATGACTTTGATCAGATTCTCAAAGTTATCGGTGATGCCAAACAAGTTAAGAATCACTGGTCTAAAGGGACAAGAGCAAAGAAAGATTCTAAGCACTTTTGGTTATAGCTACATTTAAGCTATTTCTTCTCAAGATCCTGATAATGTGACTCATGGTTCAGCACTGTGTCGAATTTAGTTATTATTAGGACAGGTGCAAAGGCAGCCTCTTGAGCCATCAGGACAGGGAGAAGTGTTCGCTGAGCTGCACTGAGTCACATCCTATGTCCCTGGTTCTGTCGGTATGTCAGAATCTCAGCGGTGGCACTCTCGACCCTGCTGAGCCAACACATTCATACCTGCATTGCATGGGCCACAATGTTCACCTTCTGCTCCCCCTACGTACCTTTACTAACACTCCAGGACCCTTCTGGATGCCTGTCGTCCAGGCCATCCCTGTGCCTGCAGCTCTTTCCATCACCTCTGCTCTAATTTGTTCCAACTGGCCATTCCCCCACAGTGGCTGTTGGATTATTTTTTAGTTGTTATTATAAAAATGTTAAAAGCTTTTCCGAAAAAAATTCTCAAAAACTACAGATAAATATTGCTTAAATAAGGTCATCTTTTGACATCTTTTCCCCTAAAATCCTCAGCAAGCCCCATTTCCCAGAGGTAACAATTTGTGTTACTTCACATTTTGCTGTCTGTTGCATTTTATTGTTAAAGTTACACATGCTCGTTAAGTCATTCTTTTACGTTTTATTTTCAGAGTTATACATATTCATATAAAACCTTTTTTGCATAATTAAAGAAATTAACCCCACTCCATTTCTGGTTTATTTCCTTCCCTTTTGCTACTCATAGAAAGAGTTGGGTTGGGTTGGGTTGGCAAGAATATTTAGGAAGTGAAACCAGTGTTTGGAAGGTTTTTTTGTTTGTTTTTACAATAGTTACTTATATTCTTATTCCAAAGTGTCTCTTGAGTGTGGGCTACTAGTTTATGCTATTATTCTGTTGCTTTCTGTCAAGCACGACTTCTCAGAAGAACTAGGTTTAAGTCTGACTTTAAGGGGAATTTTAAATTTCCAAAGAGGTTTAATTTATATGAAAAAGTCTTTTCTCATAGATTAGCACCCAGCCATACCCAGGCTCCCAGAAATGCAGGTGGTTCTCCATTGGGAGAGCTGGGGCGGGGGGACCACCTTCCTCCTCAGCCCTGGCCAGCAGCAGCCTCTCCTTTGACTTGATGGAATGTACCAGACCTGAACTACCAGTTTCTGCTTCAGAAAAAAGGGAGGCCGAAATGTTGATTATTATCACATCAGTGAGTCCAGGCCTTTTTTTTTTTTTTTAAGCACCGCAGCGAAATCCAAGATGCCATTTGCTTCTTCTTCATTAAGCTATTCTGATGCTTTTCAGAATGGTTTTGACATTGATAATAAACAGTTGTTTTCTAACGTCTTTACCAAATACTACATCAAAGCTGGACACTGAATAGAGGGAGGAAGATGACAGTGAAATACTGTTTAAAGAAGGGCTTTGTACAAGGTCTCCTGCTTTGGTTTCTCAGCTGACATCCGACACCATGTTTGTCTTGTGCTCGGGTGCCAGATCCATCGCAGTGGAGATGTCTGGGAGATGGCGAGTGATGGGAATGCACTTCTCCGGGCTCGAGGGATCTGGATGAGAGGGGAAGGCAGAGGGACAGGGAAGAGCAGAGTTGGCGCTGGCACCTGCCTTTGGGCACAAAAAAATGAAAGGACCCTTTGTGCTTCAGGGCGGCTTATCTTCTGGGCCACACAATAGGCTTATCCCTCTCAGGCCCGATAGGGGTGGCTCCAAAGCTCCCGCTGCAGGGTCTTTATGCCCATTTCCGGCCTAACCGGAGTGTCAGGTTTCCAGTGTTTTGAGTCGAAAGAAAGGGAGCTTGGAGGCAAGGCTTTTCTGTGTGTGTGGAGCCCTTGCCATTTTGGGGTCTGTTTCAGCAGGACGGCCCATTATTGTCATGGCACCCTTGAGTTGAAAAGACCTTCAAGGGCATTTTAGAAATGTGAAGTAAACCTTTAAAAAATATTACTGCTGCATCAGAAGTTGGTACCAGGATCACAGGATTGCATGTTCTGACTGAAACTCTTTGGCTTAGCTTTCTTCAGAATTTTCTGAGAAGTTAGTATTTTGAGGGAGGAATAGGACCCATTTCTGTCAAGCATGTGCCAACTAGCCTGATGCTGGTGAAAGCTTGTCAGTGGAGTCTGTATTATGTGAATTTTATTTTATTGTTTAAAAATTACACAATCAGTGTTCATTGTAGAAGAAGTAGGAAAATAAAGAGAAGCAGAAAAGAAAAAATAAATTACTGATAGTCCCATTCTCCAGTGATACTTTCAAGGGTTTGATGTGTATCCTCACCTGAATACATCTTTTCAAATGATAGGATTGTGTCACCCATCGTGTTTTCGAACTACCTTTAAAAAAAAAACCTAACAAGACATATGGATATCTTTTTATATTAATGAATGTGTCTCTACACTGCATTTTTACTAGCCGCTCATCATTCTCTTATATGGATATAACATATTTACTTAACCAATCCTTGGGCACCTGAGTGGCTCAGTTGGTTAAGCGACTGCCTTTGGCTCAGGTCATGATCCTGGAGTCCCGGGATCGAGTCCCACATTGGGCTTCCTGCTCAGCGGGCAGTCTGCTTCTCCCTCTGACCCTCTTCTCTCTCATGCTCTCTATCTCTCATTCTCTCTCTCTCTCAAATAAATAAATAAAATCTTAAAAAAAAAAACAATCCTTAAGTGTTGTTTCTAACTTTTTTGTATTATAAAAATGCTGTGGTGAACATCTTTGTAAGTGGAAATTGACTTAAAGTACTAAAGGAGAAATTGCCTGGTAAAGGGGTTTTGCATATGTTTTGGGCCTTTGGCTCTAGTTGCCAAATTGCCATCCTGACCATGTGTATCCATTCGCATTCTTTTTTTTCATGTAAAGATTTTTTTTTTTTTTATATGACAGAGAGAGAGAGAGCACAAGCAGGCGGAGGGGGAGAGAGAGAGAGGGAGAAGCAGACTCCCCACTGAGCACAGAGCCAGCTGAGGCTCCGATGCCCTGAGGTCAGGGGATCATGACTAGAGCCGAAGTCAGACACTTGACTGACAGAGCCACCCAGGCACCCCTGGGCCCGTTCACATTCTTTTCCACAGTATTGTGAGTACCTGTGCTCTCAGCCATGGGTGTCCCTGTGTGCACACTTAAATGCTAGTGCTGCTTGGCATGGTTTGTTCTGTGGTTAATTGTCCTGGTTACACTGTCATGAATCTTTGTGAAATTATATCACCTTTGTTCACCACACACAGCCCCCGCCCCCAAACTCTGAAGTATATGTCAGAGTGCATGAGTTAGTTCTTGTAGTGTTACCATTTTTCTCTTCCTTTTTTTTTTTTTTAAGTAATCTCTACACCCAACGTAGGGCTTAAACTCACGACTCCGAGGTCCAGAGCCACATGCTCTTCAGACTGAGCCAGCCAGGCGCCCCCCATTTTTCTTTTCATAAGAGGCAGCACTGAGATGCATACCAATTATCAGAAATAACACAGAAGCTGACGCTTTTTAGTAAACCTGAAAAGCAATGAACCAGTTGACTTAACATGACAGAAATGGTACTTGTGTGTCCTTTCCCTGACAGAAATCCAGATGGAGATGTGAGCCCCTGGTGCTACGTGGCGGAGCATGAGGATGGTGTCTACTGGAAGTACTGCGAGATTCCTGCTTGTCAGAGTAAGGCTCTAATGCACCACCTGAAAGGCCTCAGGACACTAAGCACCAAGGGTACAGAGTGGAAGGCCACTGCTGGAAGGCAGGTTGTTCAGGCAGGTGGATTTCATGAAGCAGGTGAAAGGAGAAGCCATCCTGGGCTGAGGAATTTTTCTTCTCTTGTTGAGGCTTTTTAGAAATAGGGGGCCTGGTTCCCTCAGGACCTGCATTCCCTTCATGGATAAGCCCACCCAGAATTTCTACTTCTACTTAATTTCCTCATGCTGATTCATTCATGGATAGAGAGATGGCAAGAGTTCAGTAGCAGGCCAGGGAAACAAAACTACCTCACACATGGGGCGCCTGGGTGGCTCAGTCGTTAAGCGTCTGCCTTCGGCTCAGGTCATGCTCCCAGGGTCCTGGGATCAAGCCCCGCATCGGGCTCCCTGCTCAGCAGGGGAGTCTGCTTCTCCCTCTCTCTCTACCTGCTGCTCCCCCTGCTTGTGCTCTCTCTCTCTCTCTCTCTGTCAAATAAATAAATAAAATCTTAAAAAAACTACCTTACGCTTTTGGGAGAGAATTGTCTAGAGTGAATGATGAATCCCTTTATAGACAAAACTAAACTATGACATTACTTATTTGCATTTGATGCGCTATCTCCCCTGAAAAGTGGTATTCAGGAAAAATCTAATTGATCCCCTCCAAAGCCAATGTGATAGTCCTTTTCCTCATATCAGCATAAAAATGTTCTCTTGTTTTGTGTGATAACTTGTACCTCATCCCTCTCTACTACCGAAAAGCCCAGTTTCTTCAGCCTTTTACTCCAAGCTGTTTCCTTCATTCATTTCTATATTCAGTGTTTATTATATGCAAGGTACAAAGGCAGAAGGTTACCCTGACCCTCAGGGAATATGCAGTGTGGCAGGGACTCTTCGGAAGACACTTGAAAACAAGGTAGAAAATAGTGTAGGAAGGTTTAAACTACAGAAACCAAACTGGAATGGTACTGGAAGGGGTTTACTAATGTAGTGTTCATAGGATCTTTTTTTCTTTCTTTTAAAGATTTTATTTTTTGACAGAGAGACAGCGAGAGAGGGAACACAAGCACAGGGAGTGGGAGAGGGAGAAGCAGGCCTCCCGCGGAGCAAGGAGCCCGATGTGGGGCTCGATCCCAGGACCCTGAGATCATGACCTGAGCCAAAGGCAGATGCTTAACGACTGAGCCACCCAGGAGCCCCTTTTTCTTTCTTTTTTGAGAGAGAGGGATGGGAGAGGTAGTGGGAGAGAAACTTAAGCAGGCTCGATCTAACCACCCTGAGATCATGACCTGAGCCAAAATCAAGAATTGGACACTTAACCAACAGCCACCCAGGCGCCTGTAATATCTTTTTAAATATGCCAAGGGAGCAGGTTTTTTCTCAGTTACTAGGCTGAGGAAAAGGACAGCTCATTCAAAATAATTCTGTCTGGATTGTTTTTTACCATATTATTTCCCCTCACTCCTTGCCCTGCCACCTTCCTTACTCCTTAGCCCCAGAGGCTGTGTACGTAGTGTGATATGGAGGTTTGTGGGGGACCTGGGACCTCACACTCACGCCCGCCACAGCAGTCTGAATTCTGCTGCCTCATGGGGAAGGGGTGCTGCAGGGCCCACCACTCACCTTCCAAAAGTTAAACTTCCAAATGAGACCATGGCCTGGCAGTGAGGCCCTGGCTTCACTCCCCTTCCAACCCGAGTATTCCTTGATTCAGTCCCAAAATTGAGAAAACAGTAAAGACCAGCAGAATGGGCTTTTGCTCAGTCTACTTAATCAAATTTTTAAAATGAAAAACATCTCATTTGGCTCTAGCTATGTAAAGAAGAAAGGGGGCAGGGGGAGAGGAAAGCAGATTTTGCTCGGTCCATTTGTTCTACACAAAGATCGTCTTTTAGTACTAGCCTATGTCATTCTCTCAGGAATGGCAAAGAGGGGATTTCAATCTGGCCGCTTTTATTTGGAAAGATAATCCTCAACTTGCATTTATAAAATATAATTTGGGCCAATGGGAGCCGACTCATGTGGTCACTGAAACTAAGTTCCAGAAGAGAGAATTACCGGAAAATGGTACAACCTGTCTAGTACTCCTCTAATTCCTAATATTTGCAGGATGTGCCTCATTGTTCCACAAAAGGAAAATTAAATATCATTTCCTTTTCTTATGGCCCCTTAGTAGCCTTCTCAAAGTTTCTAAAGTTGGCCTTGAAGTGGTCTGGGCAGGGAGACATACAGAGGTTGGGAATGAGAGCTGGGGAGTACCTGGTTTGGGGGGTGTAGGGGAAAGAACAGTGTCTGGCTTTGGTTCTTTGGAAAACCCTTCCATTCACCCTGTGGGCACCGGCAGGGCTCCCCATCTAGCTGAGACTCAGACCTTGAGAGTCTGGCAGAACATTGTGCTCCTAGTGTGTCTGATTAACGTAGTCGAGAAAAACTCCTGTGCTGTTTGAAGCAAGAGGCCTTGGTAATTGCCTAGTGGACTCAATGGAGATACAGCCAGCCTATTTTAGGCCAGTTTTGTCGTATTTCTGGATATGGAGTCATAATTTTCATGAATAATACTAACCCTCTGTGTGAAGCCCACTATTCATAATTAGCGTTGAACTTCTCATACAGGAAAAGGCTTGTGACATGATCAGATTCCTGGAAAGTTCATATCTGAATATAACAGACCCAGCAGGAACCGGGGGAGTCAATGTTTAGGGACAAAGCAGAATGTGGTTGAATGGCAGGCCATTGTGTGGAGACCGGAATCTCTGCCCATCAGCATGTTTCGGACAGAGCTAAGACAAGCAGGGAGGCAGCAATGAAGTATGATTCAAACAGGGGGCAAAGAGAAACTTGAACTGTGCTCTTGACCTGTGGAGTATGGATCAGAACTTTACCGTTAAAAAGAGAATAACTCTGAGGTAATTGGATTTGGTCTTCAAACCACATGGGACAGTATGTTTCTCAGAAACCCTAAGTTCCTATTGTGGACAGGAGAAATACAGATCATTAAAAGCAAATTTCAAGTCATCAAGGTTACCATCCCTCTAGATCCCATCCTCTACAACTCTGAGTCCTGTTGGTTTGGCTATCGAGGGGGAAACCATTTGGCTTAATATCTGTTCTTTGCATATCTCTTTCTTGTTAAGTAATCATACTCTCCATTCTAATTCCCATTTATTTCATTGCTTTCAAAGGATGTGCTTGAATGGACCTCAGCATGGCTTTTGATTTGTTCTGTTTTACCTAGATTCTTTATAAAAGTTTGGTACAGTTTTGTAAAAGTTAAGTAATCTAGTTGTGAGGTGGAGGGGAAGCTGCAAACGGCATTTAAAGGCAAATATAATTTCCTTCACATAGTTGATGTGGGCCTGAAACCACGGGCATGAGAAATTTACTTTCTCGTTGCTGAGAGCTATTTTTTGTCTGCTATAAAACATTCACCCGATTTCTACAAACTCAGCTACACAAATTCATCTTTGAAATAGGGAAGTTTGAACACAGACTATTAGATTATATTAAGCAATCACTGTTAATTTTATTAGGTACAATAATGGCACGGTGGAGATATATATACAAATAATTTTTTAAGTCATTTGAAATTATAGATACATACTGAAATATTCGTGGTTGAAATGATAATATGTCTGGGATTTATTTTAAAATGACCTAGTCTCCCAAAGAGTGAATGGGTCAGATGAGGGAAATAGATGAAACTAGAATGGTTTAAAAAAAAAAAAAAATGGATATTTGTTGTTACTGCATGACAATGGGCTCATTATTCCTTCCTGCTTTTGTGTACGTTAGAAAGTTTCCATTATAAAAAATAAATTCTATGATATCTTAAAATTGTATAATATTTTAAATATCTCAAAATAAATATGTAAATACAACATTCAAAGTATCTGGGTTCAGATATATAACATGATTAACCTAATTAACCTAAATTGAGATAATTTGCACATAGCTCCCAGGTATCTGAGTTAGTTATTACAGTTAGTTACTAGGGGCACCTGGGTAGGTTCAGTCACTTAAGTGTCTTGACTCTTGATTTTGGCTTAGGTCATGATCTCAGGGGCATGATACTGAGCCTCGTGTCAGGCTATGTGCTGGGCGTGGAGCCTGCTTGGGATTCTCTCTCTCCCTCTCCCTCTGCCCCTCTTCCCCTCCCTCTCTAAAAAAATAAATAAAAATAAAGTTAGTGATTAAAGTTTTAGTTATTAAACTAACGTTTAAATTAAAGTTATTAAAACTAATTTAAATTAATTATTATTAAAGTTAAAGCTAATTATAAAAGTTATTTAAAGTTGGTTATTAAAGTTGAAAATCACAAGGAGTTTATTACTAGCTGTGACAAATGACATTTTTTAAGCTCCAATCATATGCCGTGCCTTGTACAGCACAGGGGCCGCAAGGATGGTGTGATCTGCAGCCTGGGGGGAGCCCCTAGACTAGAACCAAAGACAGACACATAGACAGATAAGCATATGCAAGATACTCTGTAATAAATGAGATGAGCAAAAGTTTGGAAGCACTGAAGGAGGGGCATCTGCCCTAGCGTGGTGGGAGGCCAGGGCTACTGGTTATCAAGGAGGGCTTCTGGAAGAGGTGGGATCTTGGCAACAGGGCTTCTCCAACTTTAAGTTTCCTTATGAAAATGTAGTAGTAGTATAATCACAGGAATCTTAATAAAATGCAGATTCTGATTCAGTAGGTCTGGGGCAGGCTAGAAACTCTGCAGTTCTAACCAGTCCCTGGGACGTGGAGTTGTAGGACTACACTTGAGGTAGCCAGGTTCTAGATGTTAGGGTTGGGTAGAGTAGGGAGGGCAGTGGGGGTAGCAGGAACAGTGTGCATGCACACACACACACACACACACACACTGGTGAATTCCCAGGCAAAATCAGTGTTGCCGAGATAGAAATTTAAGAAGAAAGGGCAAGGGCTGAGGTCTGAGAAGAATTAGGTGGGACCAGATAATGGGCAACAGTCTTGTGGTCT